TTATAAAGAGGTAAAATTTGTGTGTTTGTATATTTGTTAAATTGTAAGGGGTAATCTCGGGATCTACTGAACAGATTTTAAAAATTCTTTCACCAATGTAAAGCCACATTATTGCTGAGTGTCATAGGTTATAGTACATTTAAAAAACCGAAAAATTCCACGCGGGCGAAGCTGCGGGCGGAGAGCTATGTAGTATTAAATAAATACAAAAACACAGAAAATATCATTACAATATTTAATTAAGTAGGTACCTACATTATTCAATGCTGGGGTATTTTCTGTTGCAAACCAGAATGTTTTTCTTCACCGAATGAACAGTTGTCAGCACACCCGACTATACATTTTTGTTGCATAATAACAGCTTTACAACTGTATAAGTAACATGTATTTAACGTGATCCATATTATCTGCACCTACCAATTATTTTTCGCCCTACCAAACTTAGAGTAGGCGCACACCGTTGATTTTTCTTCGGCCGATAGTTTAGTCGGGCAGTTGATCAGTATTGGCATGTATGGGAGTGCGCATACTACACCGATTCGATTTGGCCGATTCTTCATACAAATTAAAATCGGGCGCAACTATCGGCCAACTAAAAATCAACGGTGTGCGCCTACTCTTATCTTCATCTTTCGTCGAACAAAGATTGAAAAATGATCAATTTAATAGTGTTTGACTTGTAATGTAGACTTGCGATACGATAAATTGGCCTATTTTAAGCTTCTAAGGTGTGGGTATGACGGAGTATTGTTGCTATTGTGAGGGACGAGTACTATAAATAGGTACTTCAGTAGAGTTTCTATTGTGTGATAGATCGCAATTGATTTTAATATGATGCCTATTTAAAGATATTTGCAAACTTGTCGTTGCTTGCAACAGTAAATTGAAAGCACTGGATTTTGAACAAATTAATGATAATTCTGTACCAGTGATTTCGTTTATATCAAACTATGTTATTCTGTGGTACCTACTTACGTACCTATATCGTTTTTTTTGCATAGACATTGGAATTATTTTATTTAATTACCTAGGTAATTCTTCTTAAAAGTTTTTATACTATCATAAGTAATTCACTGGCATATCGATCCGGAGTGCTCAAATTACTCAATTTCTGTATCTAAGATAGTAAATACTATGTCAATCTCATAGTCAATTATTATTATTAGACTTTGTTTTATACGTCTCGTTAGATATTGGAATATTCAACCAAATAAGAGAGAAACAGTGTATAAGGTAATCTCCCCGAGCGTGATGGATAGGCTTCGTATATTGGATATATTATGACAAAGGAGGCAGAAAGCTTGCAATTTTAATTATGTTTATAAATATTTTGAAAGTACCCAAAAACGCTAATATTTCAGTATTACTATATTTGTTTACTTTATAACATCATGGCTTATTACATCTCTCCTTATTTTATACGAAAATGAACGCGATATTTTATTATTACCTAAAAATATAAAACATAGTTTTATAACTACTGCTTCTTCTTGCTTTATAAGTATCTGGTCCCTAATCTGAGATTTTAAAGACACCTAATTCAATGAAACTTTAAATAAATATTTATGAATAAAACGTTTTTATACACGATACAAACTTTAATTTTAGAAAAGCTTGCTTCCAAGCTTTGTAAGTTCCACAAAAGCCGCGGGAGTCCCGTGCAGAGTTTGGTATAATTATATGTATAAGTAATTGAAATTTATAATTCTGCGTGATTATACTTCAAAAGATGTGTACGAAACTTTGTATAACTCAAAACTTATACTGTAATTGAGCTTTTTAATTAACGTGATATTTATTTCTGTCCTCTTCATATTATTTTAAACTTTTTATACCTTCTTCAGGTTGCCTACGGATTTGTTATTTACTAAATTGCTGTAAAAGTATTAAGTTAACTTTTTGTGCTAAAATATCGGTTTGTTAAGTCAACTTTCAAGAAACACCTACCCTACGTTGACTTAATTTTTTTTATAGTTCGAAAATTTTGCAATTAATATTTATAATATGGTATGGCCAAGTGCGTGTCGTGCCACGCGCTGTGTAGGGTTCCGTAGTTGTCCACAATATATTTCAGAAGCAAGCAATTACTTCATCTAAAGTCACTTTTCATTTTACTTCTAAGGATTTTTTACTGGCTTATACCATGAGTCAAATGACTATTACTCTTGAACTAACTAATGTATCTTAACCATTATAGTTTTCTTGAAAGTTCATGAAAAGCAGTATTATTACGATTTATTCCAGATTTTTCAAGCCAACAGTTTAGTTATGAGAGGGGGGGGGGGAAGCCCTGCTCGAACGAAAATTGTCACTTTCAACTTTATTAATTTGCAAACAGATCCCTAAATGGAAAAATAGTTTTAGAAACCCCTAAGCCATTTTAAAAGACTTATCCAATGATACCCCACACGATGGGTTAAAAGATGAAAAAACCGGTCAAGTGCGAGTCGGACTCGAGCACCGAGGGTTCCGTACAAACCTGCAAGGTTCACAAAGTTCGTTCATTACGACAATCGAGTCATAACAATTTTTTTTTCACGGGTTAAAGGCAATTAGATCTAAGTATTTGATATGAATTTCAACTTGATAGCTCTACGCGTTCATGAGGAAAAAAGTAATAAGTTTATATTTATTAAAAAATATATATTTTGTAATGTAACTAAAAATTTAAGGTTTTCGGAATTTTTCCTTTATGTGTGCTATAAAACGTTGCTTCATGCCAAATTTCAAGATTCTAGGGCGACTGGAAGTACCCTTTAGGCTTTGATTCCCTTGCGAGTACTTGCGAGTTTCAAAATATGCAGCTTAAATTGCTGTTTCTTTTGATTGCGTTGACATAGAAGTTTGATTTTGTTACAGCTTAAAGGTATTATAGACCTGAGTATTTGGTATGAATTTTAATTTAATACCTCTACGCGTTTATGAGGAAATGGGTAGTAAGTTTAAAATTATTAAAAAAAAATATTATGTGATGTAACTAAAAATTTATGGTATTCGTAATTTTTCCTTTATCTATGCTATAAGACGTTGCTTCGTACCAAATTTCAAGATTCTGAGTTCACGGGAAGCACCCTGTAGGTTTTGATTCCCTTGCAAGTGTCGAAAATTTGCGGCATAAACGGCTGTATCTTTTGATTGCGTTGGCTTAGAAGTTTGATTTTTTCACAGCTTCAAGGGACAGTAGACCTGAGTAATTGATATAAATTTCAGCTTCATACCTCCACGCGTTCCTGAGAAAAAGGGTCTTGACAGACGGACGGACAGACGGACAACAAAGTGATCCTATAACGGTTCCGTTTTTTCCTTTTGAGGTACGGAACCCTAAAAACAAAATCATCCCCACTTTACATGTACGGGAGCTACCCTAAAATAGATTAAAATAAGACTAGCGGCCGCCCGCGACTTCGTACGCGTGGATCCCGTTTTACCCCCTTCATAATTATATCATACGCGGTTTAGGTTTTTTCATACAAATGTTTTTTCCCGCTAACTCCCGGTCCTGTGGGAATTTTGCAATATCCTGTTGTAACTAAGTTTTAAGTTCACTAAGGTACCTGCATACTAAATTTCAAGCGTCTAACTTAAGCGGTTTAGATTTTTCATACAAAAGGATTTTCCCGCTAATTCCCGTTCCCGTGGGAATTCCTAAGTATACTATAACCTGCCCAGGAGTATGAAGAATAATTGTACTAAGTTCCGATAAAATCCGTCGAGTAGTTTTTGTTTCTATACGGAACATACAGACAGACAGACAGACAAAAATTTTACTGATTGCATTTTTGGCATCAGTATCGATCACTAATCACCCCCTGATAGTTATTTTGAAAATATATTTCATGTACAGAATTGACCTCTCTACAGATTTACTCGTATTATAAGTAGGTATACATAGATATCAAATACTTGTATTTTTTCGAAATTTTTTACTTTACCAGCAACGCTTACTTATCAATGATTTAGGTATCTCGGCACCAATTTAATTATATCTTGCCGATCTCATTATTCATAAATTATTGGCAATTGTGTAATTAAAAATAATTTACTACCGTAGAGCTTAATAAGCCTACAACGTGAAAATATTTCGTTCTACGTACCTACCTAAATTAGGTTTTTATTGAAAATAATAGCAACGTTGCTCAATATTTTATATTATGAAATCTTGAAGATAACCTTCTGCCTAATTAGGAACTTTCTGTTGGTGTTGCTAGTTCAGATATTACTCGACTCTTACTAATTTTCTTTGAAAAAGTGTGTAGGTAAAGAAACTCATCGATCGATCGAGCCAAATAGATGAGGATCATTTCGATTTTTAGCTGTGAATGCAGATTTATAGGGCTAAGAAATCCTTNGTTCAATACAAACAAACATTAAGTTACACTCACCCCAACCGCGTCTCCGCATTGCATCGAATCCTATGAAAATGTGGTTTTTGGACATAGCAATACTTATTTTTCACTATTTTTATTTTTAAAAATTACTGGTCGATAGGTTACTTTATTTTGAAGAATAAATGTTATTAAAAATTTTTTTCTAAAACTGATAGTTTAGCCGGAAAAAAATATTTTCCATCCCATTAGTACGCCGGCTGCGCTCGATTCGGATATAATGACGTCACGCGACCTTGCGTACGTTGACTTTTAGCGGCAAAAACGGCCTATGTTTATTACTTAATATCTTCGTAAGTAATGGTCCGATTTGAATAATTCAAAAAGATATATCTTTCTTATGTCTTAAAGATTAACGTAGATACTGGTTTTATTGAATTTTCTACAACAGTACTGATCCTCATTATCACTCTCATTTATATTTAGTGACAATATACATAATTCTATGTAGATGTTGCAGTCGAAACTCATAATTGGTCAAAAGTGATATCGAACAAGGTCATCAGTCAAAACTACTTGACTGATTTTTGCAGACAAAAGTGGTTTTGGCCGATTTTATGAGTTTTGACTGTAACGTAGATTTCGTAGCACTTCACTAACAACTACGACTTTCAGGATGCGCTACGAGGCCGCCGCTGCGCGTCGCTACGGTCCGCTGCTACGCCGGTCCGCCCCGCCGATGACTCCGGGCGGTCCACGCCGTCAGCCGCGCCCCGCGCCTCACCGTCCCCCGCTGACACCCCTGCCCCTAAGAAGTCCAACTGGGAAGTAATTGAGCATTTCTCAAACCGAGCCAAGAAGAGTCCGACGACTGTAAGTAGCTTAAAATTGAAAGTTTGCCCATAATCACTCATTTGCGCTGGAGCTGTGCATTTGTTACGTTACTCTTTTTGTAATTTAACGTTCAGAATTGATTTATAAAAATACAATATTAGTAGTGTGAAAATGCACAGCTCATTTTTTTTTAGTTCATTGAACGATTTCGCTTGATCATTACATTTGTTGAGGCTGATGCAAACTCAATTATGTTGTGATTGAGTCGGGTTGCTCACCCACTCAGATTAGTTTCAATTAGCTCTAAGCTTCATCGACTTATCTCACCTATACAGTGTAGTGTACGGGCTATTATCACAACGAATCGAGTGTGCATCAAACGAATGAGTGCTTTAATCATTATCGATTAAAAAATAAAGGACTAATAGTTTAAAGCCAAAATTAACGCCAGTGGTCCGCTTGATCTGTTTGGTTTTTGGTGTCGCATTGCTTCTAAACAATTGGCCATAACCCTCTTGCAGTGCTTACAAGTGTGCACAATAATGAAAGCGCTGATTATTTAAAAATTAAAATAAAATTAGTCGATTAGGTCGCAGACATGCGCATGCATGAGTTGTTCAATGAATTAAATGCTGTAGCGCGGTTGCAGCCGCATCCTGCAGTGACTTCATTTTATTGCGCAGCATCCTGCTTTGCTGCCATCAACGAGTCCCGCGGTCAGAGAGTCCGAACAGGGACAGAATCCAAACGAACGCGCACTAGCACTTACAGAGACGAATGTGAGTACAAAAGTTTGGCACGCCTACTCTTTCTTGTCTGTACTTCTCTTTCTAAGACTATCCTTGATTGGCCAAAACATTCCAAATTGATTACGAAAACTTCCTGTGACCCCTGACTTAATTGTTACTAAGCTGGAGTTGCAAAAACATCTCAACGTTTACCGTCACACGTTTATTCTGACCAACTGTTATGTACCTATCCATTTCCTTTTCTTTTAGTTACTTAATATTTATGTATATTTAAGGGATTCAGACTTTAAACTTAGTTTTACTCATTAGACACTTGAATTAGAAACAATTACTTTTTTTTACTGAAGGCGAGTTTGAAACCAGAACTTTTGCTCTTAACTTTGAAATACAAACAATACTCTTGACATTCACTTGTACGAGTACACACTATTTTAAAATATCAAATAATATCTAAGGTCAGTAATTCTGAACAAATTCATAAAAAACTATAATGATACATGGCTTACACGATATTTGATCTCGTTATTTTTGTTAGCACTGTTGAACAGGTACTTTTAATAAATTATTTTGATCCGATTTGTTTCAAAGTTATCGTTAATATTTTAAGTTCATTAAAACTTAACTTAATATTTATAATAACACAATCAGTTTTGATTATGGTGCCAATTGTAGCTATTGTGAGAGTTTCAGATTAAGATCAAGGTTTAATTGAAATAATGTTTATTTCAATTAAATATGTTAATTATGTGTGATTTGGGACGCTTAAAATGGGTGTTCATTGTTACCATATTTGTTTACATTTTATTCATGGTATCGAGATAACTTGTGTTCGCGGTGAAAGATCATACATTTAGGTTTATGGGTTTGTGGCGAGAAGAAAAACTAAATAACAGAACGCTTTTCAATATAAAAGAGGTAATTGGGCGTTTTATTTTTCGGGCTATCGGGTCTTTGTTGCCTTTGCTCAGTATTCATTGTTGGTAATTTTACGTTTCACAAAGTACCTTTTGTCAAACTTTCCCGAAAAGGGGGTGACAAAAAAGCTGCTATGTAAACCTTTCAGGCTGATTTAAATAAACTCTGTAAAGCACGCTTAGGAGCGTTTTACCCTTTAGATCTTTTAAATATTTTATCGGCAAAACGATTACGCGGCCTTCGCATTTTTCAGAGCGGAACGTCCTGTAGCAAACTTTGATGAATCGTGACTAGAATTGGCCTAATGAAAAATCTAGGTTTTTTGACGAAGTTTTATTCCACAAATGTTTGTCGTAATTAAATGTTGGCCTTGGGTAAATTGGATCGGTCCTTCAGGAATGTGGCCTCAATTAGCAAGAGACGAAGTTAATGAATTTTGTAAGGTTACTGCAAACGGTTACTTCAAACGGTTACATGTCCCCGATTGCCGGCTCCTATTTGACGTTGGTCGTATAACGATTGATTGTCTTTGACGTCTGTTTTACGTCACGTGATGGGTAGTTAGGGCTGCCGTTACATGAGACAGTTAAAAACATAAACTCATCGCTTAAAAGTGGAATAACCGTAACATTTTCATACCAGCTCAATATACCAATATGTATTTAATTGAGAGAAGAAATCCTACTAATATTATGAATGTGAAATTTTGTGAGGACGGATGGGTGGATGTTTGTAATTCTCTCACGTTTAAACCACTAAATTAATTTAGAAGAAGTTTAAGACCCAGATAAAAACATTGGATAATTTTATCTAGGTTTTTGGAACGCGAATATGCGCGTTAAAGGCTTTCTTTGACAGACCGAATTCCACGCAGGTGAAACTGAAACCGCGTGCAAAATCAGTCTCTCTTAATAGACGGCCGTAGTAAGGACAATCTGTACAGGTGGGGATATTTGGATGGCTCAAACTTGGAGTGCAAGTGTGGTTTTGTTCCCCAGTCGACGATGTCGTGCCCTGCGTGCCCAAACAACTGCACGCAGGAAGATTTAATAAAGGCTATTGACAACGCCACTATTGTGGCGGAGTTTTGGGCTGACACTGTGTGGGTTTGTTGGTTGTGGTCCACAGTGAATTATATAAATAAATAAATAAATAATAAAATAAATAAAATTAGACTTATTCTTATTATGCATGAGAAGGAACAACCAGCTTTGCGCTCGTCATACATAACTACGGGCAGCACATAGCTAAGCAGCGGTATCTTACGCCCTTGTAATACAGACTATTTTGCTGTTGCCTGTACTAATATCAACAGGTTGTTCCGAGTAACATTCTCCTTAAACCCTAATTACAACGGAACAGATAAATTCTGACAACTGACGTAAAGTGATAAGTGTTGAATCCGGTAGTACCTAATTACTTACACAAATTGCTGACTGAGTAATAAAAGCATTTTAAGTAGGTTTTCATAATTAAAGTCGAGTTGCACCACCTAACTTTAAGGCCTCAGCCTCGAACTTAGCGGGCAGCGGGGCGGCGGCGGCGGCGGCGCGGGAGCGGCAGGATCTTATGCGTAAAATCAAATAGACCGGTTCTCGAAAACAGCGGCGCGGCAGCGGCGCCGGAGCGGGCAACGAGCGGGCAGCGGCGAGGGAGCGGGCAACGAGCGGGCAGCGCACTCCTTCTTTTGCCCACAATAAATCGAGCGTTAGGAATAAATTTGAATCGAAATGAAATTGTCGCCGTTGTTCAGACATTTCGTTTACGAATAAAAATAAATATCTCGACAACACAACCCCGAACACAACACTTCGCCGCTAAAGCGCCGCGCGAGCTGCCCGCTTGTTTCGAGAACGGGTCTGCGTTGCCCGCCCCGCTCCAGCGCCGCCGCCGCTCCCGCCCCGCTGCCCGCTAAGTTCGAGGCTGAGGCCTCACGGTAACTATAATAATACTTAACTGGTGCTTTTTGTATTGAGTTTGACAGATTTTTGACGTTTGTCAAAGTTAAAGTAAGATGGTGCAACCCAGCCTAAGCATTGGATACTCTTAACATTGTATAACCAAACTCAATTTGTACATTAATTTCTTTTGACTAGTAAGATCGTCGTTCTGTCTCCTTCCTAAAGTTGCTGTGCCCTAACTGGGTCCACATTGTATAACTGCCTAAATTGTAAGACCTATAAATGTGAATGCTAATGTGGTTATGCAATAAAAGTATTGAGTATTATGCATCGTATTTTTCGAATGGGTTTTGACTTTAAAACAAGGTAACAAAGTTTAAACTATAGCAGCAAATAATACTACGGAACCACTACAAGATATTTACAAAATATAAGATTTTCTCCTTTTTAACGTTAGGCAACTCTGAGGTTAGAATAATTAGTCTTAAATCTTAAATAATTGTATGTTGTTACTGACCATTGACGTATACATATAAACAATATCAAACTTTAATTAAAATAATGCATACCTATCGCTGACAACCCTCAAATCCAAACGGACACTTGTTTGTGACGTCAAAGCTTTACAGAATTATATCTGTAACGATCATTGGGATAATCCAGCTTTACGCCTTTCCGTGTATATTTGTAAATCAAATTCGGTTTAAATCGGAGTCGTTTTCAGCGAAGGGAAACCATTGCGGAATAAAAATGTACACAACTGAGATCAAAGATCTTTTAAGAGAGTTTTAACGACTTTATTGCGGTTTTATTAACCCTAGAGTTAGGTTTATGAGCAGTCGCATAAAAGCTCTACTGGACTTCGGAACAAGAAGTCACGGACCATCAAGTTAAATAATACTTATCGCTACCGGTGATTATGTATTCAATATCAGTTTTCTGTGTAAATTTTATACCACTAATTTACATCTATTGAATTGCTTAATTTCTTGTACCTACGTTATATGCGTCCCTGTTACACTGGAAACCATCGCAAAATTTCAGTGATTATGTCACATTAATGCGAAGTATAAGAAGCTGATGTTCAGTGAGAAAACCCTTCCAATAAAATAACGAGAACACCACAGAGGTGACACGTCTGCCCTTAAAAGTTCGGTTGAATTAATCTGTGATAAACGGTAAATAAATTAATGTCACTTTGCATAAACAACAGACGGTTGGGTATGAGGAGAAATTAATGAGCGTATTTTATGAAGGACCTATTAATAGTTTGTTATTGAAAATATGTCTTTCAAGTTTATCCCAGCTGACCTATTTTAGGTATAGGGATTGCGAAATAGGCAGAGAACGGGCAGCAGTGCTCTCTGAAAAACATCAATCTCCAACCCGCCTGCCAAGCGTGGGGATTATGGCAAAACCCTCCACTATAGTAGAGGAGGTTCATAGTCCAGCTGTGGACTGTAAAGGACTGTTGATGATGATTGCGCAATATTTTTAAATTACTTTAGAGCCAAAGCACACGATGCGTTGCTCCGCCAGTGCCATGACGGAGCGGTGTCGCTACGTTGACTTACATAGTATCTGTGGCGGGCACTCGAACGTTACGGCGCCGCGTCGAGCTATACGGCAAAATGTAAATGTAATTGCTCAATAATGAATAATAAATAAATAAATAAAATAATTAAATCTTTGCGGTGCGGCGCCGCAACGCATCGTGTGCTTTGGCTTTTACATAATGGTTGCGCAAACCTCCCGAGCCTCAAAACATTTTCTTTATGCCAACTTAAGTACGCAATACAAATTTCGGGAATGCTTATGCTAATTTATCTAGCTTGGGCACGTGGATAAGACTAAGTATACCAGTGTTCCAACATGTGTAAACAAATGTTATTTCTGTTTCAATGCATTTTGTCAAGGAATTTTTTAGAACAATCATCTAGTCAAATATCTTTGTTGTTGGTCTAGCTTAATACAAAGTAGAGTCATAATTTTATTTGAAAAATTAACACGCAACTCGATAGTCACTTGTCAGATCGATTGAGTCTGGATAGAGTCACACCATAGTGGAAATACCGAAACTAATAGCAGGCCTGTTCATCTCCGCGAGTTTACATCGAAAACAAAACACGCACGATGGCCCACCTACAGGATACTATTCGACAAGGTCTCACATACGAGCGAACATTGACTCACGCACGCGTATTCTTGTGTATG